TGTTGCTTTAGAAATGTACTTTGTTCTGAAAATAATTCAACTTCTTTTCTACCACAATTTTTTTTCTATTGAACTTTCTGGGAATGTTTATTTTCCCAATACTTTAACTTATTTTTTATTACTTAAGTTATATATGCTCATAGTAGAAAAAGTAGTAAATATAAGAAAAATTATTAGGAAAACTATGGAATAACCTGGGGCTTCCCTGGTGCCTCAAATGGTAAAGAATCTGCCTGCAATTCAGGAGACCTGAATTTGATCCCTGGGTTGGGAAGATACCCTGGAGAAGGGGATGGTTACCTACTCCAGTATTCTTGCCTGGAGAATTCCATGGATAGAGAAGCCTATTGGGCTACAGTCCATGGGGTCACAAAGAATCAGACATGACTGAGTGACTGGCACACACACACATAGTATATCCTAACACTGATAAATACCACCAATATTTTGATATAGAATCTTCCAGACTTGTATCAGTGCCAACCAATGTATATAAACACACACACACACACACACACACACACACACACACATACACATCTTACCCAAAAACATTTCATTATATTTATTTCATTTTAATCTGTTACCTTTCCAGCAGCTGGAACATGCTGTTATATTTCTTATTCTTAAAACATTCTTGGGAACCTATTTCAACATAATAAAGGCCATATACAACAAACCCATAGCAAACATCATTCTCAATGGTGAAAAATTTGAGAATAAATATTGTAAAAATGAATATACTACCAAAGCAACCTACAGATTTAAAATTAAATTATCAACGACATTTTTCACAGAATAAGCATGAAACATTTTACAATTTGTATGGAAACATGAAAGGGTGGACATGAGGGGAGTTCTGAAGATTTGAGGTGGATAGATTTAAGATAGACTTTGAAGTTTGGGGCAGGAGTGGGGAGGTGCCTGTCTGGGGCTTCCTGTCAACCCAAGAGATGTGGAAATTCAGTCTTACACCTGGGGCACTGGACAAAAATATTGTCCATGTTGCTCCTGGAAACAGACCATATAAATCTGTAATGACAGAAACCTTAGCTAGAAACTACATATCACATTCATGATAGGAGTACCCCTGGGAAAATGAGAGGGGAGTGGAAATGAGGTGAAAGTCAAGAAGAACCTGAATTTTTCTGTAATGTTTTTATTTCTTTAAAAAAAAGACAAAGTAAATATACCTAAATATCAACAACATCCAAATCAGTGTGGCAGAAACACTGGTGTTTATTATATTTAATGCCTGGGACATTGTAGGTATTCAGTGAATGTCATTTGTTGAATTAGCTTATTTTTCTGTTTTACAAGTTCACCCAACAAGCATACAAAACTCTCAAAATTGTACCCCATGCTACAAGAGCATAGAAAAATAAATGAAGAGATGTGGAGGAGGCCTGAGAAATGCTTGAGGAGAGAGTGATTGATGATCTATGTAGATCTCTACCACCATACAAGAGCCATATAGAAAATATGGAGTGCAAGCTGAAGATATAGTCCTATCTCCATTTTATCTTAACACTCTAAGGTTCTGGGTGAATATACAGAAAATCACCTTGAAGACCCAGATCTTCCAAGTAACTACCAGATCCTCACTTTTCTCCCCAACATAGACACTGGGTGGTGCTGCTGTCCAAAAATTCTGCTCTATTCTGGACTTATTACTTCAACCTAAAGATGGGTATTTATCTAAGCAACTACTGTGGATCAAGTAAAGTGATCAGGATTGAAGAAAATCAAGATGAATAGCCTCAGCAGATTCTCTGATTACCCTAAACTGACTGTTACCATGTTCAGTGGCTGAAAATCAGAAAATATAACTTACATAGGAGCCCACCACTGTCACAGAAATGCTCAGCTGAGAGAGTGAATGACCCCAAACCACCCACCCTCTTCATGAACATCCTTGCTCCATGACCTCGCAGAATTAGAACAGACAACACTGAACATTGCTTCCAAATCACTGTTTGGTTGTCACAACGTATAGCTCCTATGGCTATAAAAAGCAGGGAGTACCTAATTATGGCTCCATCAGCTTGGATCTCGGAGCTTCAGACAGATACAAAGCTAACTGGGTAAGATGTATCTACTTATTGTAAAGGCCCTTATTACCATGGAGGAGTGAGCATACTTAGGAGGAAGGGAAGTGGACCCTCAGGATGGACATCGTGGGAGACGCAGGGGAGGTAGGCCAAGCCATCAATCCCTGGAGTAATCAGAGTGAGTTTGAATGGGGCCTGGGGAGGCAAATCTGGTATGACATTATTAAACCCTGATAACTCAGTTGGTGAAGACTCCGCCTGCAGTGCAGGAGACCCCGATTAGATCCCTGGGTCGGGAAGAACCTCTGGAGAAGGGATAAGCCACCCACTCCAGTATTCCTGGGTTTCCCTTGTGGCTCAGCTGGTAAAGAATCCGCCCGCAATGCAGGAGAGCTGGGTTCGATCCCTGGGTTGGGAAGACCCCCTGGAGAAGGGATATGGCTACCCACTCCAGTATTCTGGCCTGGAGAATTCCATGGACTATAAGAGTCGGACACGACCGAGCTGTTTTCACTTTCACTTTTTGGTGTTTCCTTGTGGCTCAGCTGGTAAAGTATCTGCCTGCAATGTGGGAGACCTGAGTTTGATCCTTGGGTTGGAAAGATCCCCTGGAGAAGGGAAAGGCTACCCATTCCAGTATTCTGGCCTAGAGAATTCCATGTGTCCATGTGGCCACAAAGAGTCAGTCACGACTGAGTGACTTTCACTTTCACTGGGAAAGCGAATCTGGTATGACATTAACACCCATTTGTAGGGGTGAGGTCCTGAGTAGAGGAGAGATAGTGGACTCAGGCCAGCAAGGCTAAAGCGGAGGGAGGGGCAAGGAGGCGGATCTAGGATTCCTTGACCAATCGGAGATGGTTGGGGCGGATTGGGGGGGCGGGGTCTGCCGCGAAACTTAAAACTGCATGAGCTCCTCACCGGAACGCTAACCTCGTCCAGAATGGGAAGCAGTGTCGGTACAGCAGTCTACCTTTCTCTGGTCTTCAAGTCTTCGGGTGAGGATGTGCGGCCCCTCCAGAGCAAGAGGGCTATGGGAAGAGGAGGGCGTGGTGGCCGCGGGGCTGGTGAATCCGGCCTGCAGGAATTAGAAGGGTGGAAGTTGGGACGCGCGATGTGTAGCGGCGCCTCCTGGCGAGTGCACGCTTTTGTCTTCGCAGCGCCGCATTCTGAGCGGGATTCGAATCCTTCCCGGGTCGGTCCCTGGCAGGTCCGGAGGCAGGAACCCCAAGAGCGGCTGTCCGATGCGGCTGTAGGTCCGATGCTGAGGGGACGAGGAGTTTGGGACTCGGAATGAGCACTCTGGGGCTGGCCCTTTGCTCCCTCCGCTCCTGTGACTGTTTGATTGGACTGGTCTCCCAACAATGATAATAGTTATTTTAAAATGTGAGCAAATAACATGTGAGCTGATAATAACGTGGCTTATTTGCCCAGTCCTGTTATTATTTGAAATCCCTATTTTCTGCCCTCGGGAGATTGGCGGCCAATCAAGGAGGGTCCTAGGGTGACCCCGACGGAGAGAAGGCATATTTGGCACGCCTGGCTGTTTGGGGGCCTCTCCATTCTAGTCTAGGCACTAGACATGCCATACTCCACCGGGTGAGACCAGACACGCGCAGGAGAGCTCTGCTTTCCGGGCTCGGAGGTCTCCTATTGTCTCCTCTGGACAAACTCAGAATAATCACCCGACACCTCACCTACTAGCTTAATGTCCTCCTCTCTCCTCCTGAGGAGAAAATATAGTGAAATAAAAATCAACTCTGTTTGGTTTATCCCATTCTGCTGAAGTTCCTTGTTTGATCATAATTAGTCGTGCTGTCTTAAAGCATTTACAAACCAGTCCCACAAGAAGCTATTATGAGACATGCCATTAGTTATGACGGGATTGAATCTCCCCTCCCCTTATTGCAGCACCTTGATCTATTGTCTTTGGGCAAATGAAATGGAAAGAAACTAGTACAATTTAGTTCAGTTCAGTCGCTCAGTTGTGTCCGACTCTTTGCGACGCTATGGACCGCAGCATGCCAGGCCTCCCTGTCCATCACCAACTCTCGGAATTTACTCAGACTCATGCCTATTGAGTTGGTGATGCCAACCAACCATCTCATCCTCTGTCGTCCCCTTCTCCTCCTGCCTTCAATCATTCCCAGCATCAGGGTCTTTTCAAATGAGTCAGTTCTTTGCATCAGGTGGCCAAAGTATTGGAGTTTCAGCTTTAGCATTAGTCCTTCCAATGAATATTCAGGACTGATTTCCTTTAGGATGGATTGGTTGGATCTCCTTGCAGCCCAAGGGACTCTCAACAGTCTCCTCCAACACCACAGTTCAAAAGCATCAATTCTTTGGCCCTCAGCTTTCTTTATAGTCCAACTCTCGCATCCATACATGACTACTGGAAAAACCATAGCTTTAACTAGACAGACCTTTGTTGGCAAAGTAATGTCTCTTAAAAAAAAAAAAAAGCAGTACAACTTGTGCCACCCTTTATTGTGTGCTGCTCCCTAACCTCAGTAGAAATGCCATATAAAGTGAAGGTGTTCAAATAGTGCTATCTCCTGTTATAAATTCATTAGCTGGTTAAGCCCAGTCATTTTTTCTTCTATCTCTATTTGCTCTTGTACTTTTATCACTATCTCCAACTGATCTTGCTTGTGATTTTTAAAAGAGTCAGACATATCAACTCTGGCTTTTAGAGCATCTTGATTTCTAGTGCATCCTGATTCAGTGGTTTTTACTGACTATTGGAAATAGGATAATAATGTGCAATTCAAAAGCATTTTGATAAAAATATGACTTTCCTAAGATGTGTGCTGTTTTCTTGTTGAAAATCAGAAGGTAAAATCCATATTGATATTAAACTTGAGAATTTGGGGTTGTGATCTATTTGTGTGATAATAGTTTTGCCAGTTAAGTTAAAAAAAGTTTTTTTCAATCTTTCTTCAAGCCAAGATGAGTGATAAACCAGACTTGTCTGAAGTGGAGAAGTTTGACAAGTCAAAACTGAAGAAAACTAATACTGAAGGAAAAAAATACTCTCCCCTCAAAGGAAAGTAACTCATGGGGCAATGTGGGGGGGGGGTGGCTCTAGTGAAGAAAAGCATTGGTGACCATTCACAGGTTCAGTAAATAAACTCTCCTAGTAAATTTTGCCACAGAGTAAGCAATAATTAAGTAGCCACTGAATTTAATGCAGCAAATAAAAATATCAAATAGTTGTCTAAGTACCTGGCTTTTATAAATGGTTTTTACATGATAAACTCAAGAAGTAATGGGGGAATAAAAAGCTATTTTCTTGTTGGAAAGTCACTAAAAACCACATTGCAATCAATTTTGGCATATTATACTTAGCACTCAAAAAGTCTTAGTTTTGGCACTCACATGGTTATTTGGAATTTTCTGCATCTAACAACTTAGTTCCATGATCTCATTTCTGAAAAACTATATAAGCTCTGCAGTTTTGGCTTTCTGTACCTGACAATGAGGCAGAGAACAAGTTTAGATATTTGATTCACTCAGGGCTCCCAGACTCGAGGGATCAGTTTTGCCTTTGAGATTTACAGCCTGATGGAGAAACTCCAAGCATATTCACAAAACTGAGGGACACTTTTTGTCATGTTGCTGTTATTTGATAGTTTCTAAATTAATCAAAATTGTCTGAAAGGGTATAATTTCCTAACTATATAGTGATAGATAAATCTGAGGAAAATACTTCACTTGCCCCTCAGTCTCAGAGCATTCTATGAAAAAAAATGGCAACAGCAAAAATCAAACTCTGAAATGGATAAAAAGACACAGCTAATGTAGATTCTGATGTTCAGGTGGTTAACACACACACACACACCCAACTGAGGATTTGCAGTTAGTGCCTTAGCATCCTAAATTTAAAGCAGATATGGTAGCCTTCAGTGACTTGGCAAAGAGTGGCAAAGAGCTCTCTTGGAAGAAACTGAACTTCATCTTAGGAACATACTCTTTTAATGATTGTTTGTGTTTGTCTTTTTCCCAGCTATCCAGCAAGAGAAAGAGTATATTCAAGCATCATAAGATGAGGATGTCCTCCCAAACATAAATTTCAACATTGCCTGAATGTCTTGGTTTTAAACTGTTTTTTTGTAATCGTATGTGTTTGTAGAGATTTTAGCTATCTTCTGATGTCTTCTCATCCATAATCCCTGGTTAATAGGTCAGGAGTAGCCAATGTTCCCTTGCTGTGCTGTGCTTAGTTGTTCAGTCGTGTCTGACTCTGCCCACCAGGCTTCTCTGTCCATGGGGGTTCTCCAGGCAAGAATACTGGAGTGGGTTGCCATGCCCTCCTCCAGGGGATCATCTCAACCCAGGTATCAAACCCAGGTCTCCCGCATTGCAGGTGGTTTCTTTACCATCTGAGTTAGCAGGGAATCCTAATGTTCCTTTACTTTCATTTTTAAACTTTCCATTTCCATCAGCTGGCTGATGGAATAATCTCACCATTGATGATCTTTGTGCATGTAGTCCTTGCCTCCCTTAAGGGATAAGCAACTTTTTATACTGGATGTCTTCATTGTTCCATAATCTTCATAAATTGGCAAGCATTTGCAGCTTCTCACAGTTTATTTCACTTCTTACTTAGCAATAAAATAATATATATAGTCATTATGTTGAGACTCCTGCGGTGGTCCATTCTTGGTGGTCTTCTAAGGACTGAAAGTACAAAAGGGTACCCTTCAAGCAAACAAAATGATTGAAGGATGAAGGAAGTCCACTTTAGCAGAATAGTCACATGGAAAAGATTCTTCTTTGTCCAGGTGAGGTGGTCATGACTTGCTTTTTTTCCATAGTTGGAGTCACAGAATTTGAGAACCTTGGAAGAGGAGGTCATGTGGACTAGTATTCCTGTCTCGAAGATGAGGAAATGAAAACCTGGTAAATAAGGATTGGGATTTAATATTACTCAGCCATTAAAAAGAATACATTTGAATCAGTTCTAATGAGGTGGATGAAACTGGAGCCTGTTATACAGAGTGAAGTAAGTCAGTATACTAACGCATATATATATATATGGAATTTAGAAAGAAAGATGGTAACGATAGCCTTATATACGAGACAGCAAAAGAGACACAGATGTATAGAACAGTCTTTTGGATTCTGTGAGAGAAGGTGAGGGTGAGATGATTTGAGAGAATAGAATTGAAACATGTATATTATCATATGTGAAACAGATCGCCAGTCCAGGTTTGATGCATGAGACAGGGTGCTCAGGCCTGGTGCACTGGGATGACCCAGAGGGATGGGATCGGGAGGGAGGTTGGGAGGGGGGTTCAGGATGGGGAACACATGTACACCCATGGTTGATTCATATCAATGTATGGCAAAACCACTACAATATTGCAAAGTAATTAGCCTCCAATTAAAATAAATAAATTAAAAAATAAACTGAATTCTCTTGTTTTCTGAGAGTGTTTTTCAGTTTAATGAGAGGAGATACCCAAGACACGGGGTTGGATGGAGAAGTGGGCAAGAGACACTAACACCCACTTTGCTAAAAACATCACATCTGTTGAACATCAGCTCAGAAATCTGATCTTTTGATGAGCTGCAGCACTGAACCTCTGGTCTATTTCTTGTCTTGAACAGAATCCACTGTCTTATGAACCAATCATTTTTGATGTTCATGGTGAGAACAAGGAGTGCATGTAAATGGGAGTGACCCAATCCCTGCCCATATGCAGTATTTTATCACTTTCAGTTTATAAAACCAGTCACTTATAATCCCACCAATTAGAAGCATTAGCATTTGGGTGCATAATCACCCGTACTCTGGTATACTACAGTCATAACTTAGGGATATTGTTAGTTTGGTTCCAGACCACTGCAATAAAGCAAATATTGCAATAGAATGAATCACACAAAGTTTTTCGTTTCCCAGTGCATATGTTATGTTTATGTTTAAGTTATGTTTACACAATATGCAATCAACCCTTGAACAATATGAGTTTGAATTGTGAGTCCACTTACACACAGATTTTTTTCAATAAATATGTAGGAAAAATGTTTTAAGATTTGCCATAATTTGAGAAACTCACAAACCACATAACCTAGAAATATAAAAAAAAAATTTTAATTCACTATGTCTTGAATGCATTAAAATATGTGTAAATATAATGTAGAATATATGTCTTAATCAACTGTTATCAGCAAGGCTTCCAGTCCACAGTAGGCTATTAGTAGTTAAGTTTGGGGGAGTCAAAAGTTATACATGAATTTTTTACTGTGCAGGAGTTAGTGTCCCTAATTCCTGCATGTTTCAAAGGACAATTATACTGTAGTCTATTAAGTGTGCAATAGCATTATGTCTAAAAAGCAATGTATATACCTTAAGTAAAAAAAAAACCACTTTATTGCTAAAAAATGCTAGTCACCATCTGAGCCTTCAGTGAGTCATAATATTTTTTCTGGTGGAGAGTTTGAAATATTGCAAGAATTACTGTAATGTGGTGCAGGGAAATGAAGTGAACCAATTACCAAGGTACAACACAGAGATACAAAGTGAGCAAATGCTGTTGGAAAAACATGGAGGTAACATACTGTCTTATACAAGGTTGCCACAAACCTTCAATTCACAGAAATAAAAAATAACATCAAAACCCCCAGCAGGATAAAGTGAAGCACAATAAAATGAAGTACATCTGTATGTATCTTTTCCTACAAGAAAGGGATTATGCTGTTCAGACCTATTTGAAACATCATGTTATCTTACCACTCCTTTCTTTTTTAATTAATTAATTTGTTTTAATTGGGGGGCTAATTACTTTACAATATCGTAGTGGCTTTTGCCATATATTGACACAAATCAGCCATGGGTGTACATGTGTCCCCCATCCTGAACGCCCTCCCACCTCCCTCCCCATCCCATCCCTCAGGGTCGTCCCAGTGCACTGGCCCTGAGTGCCGTGTCTCATGCATTGAACCTGGACTGGCGATCTATTTTACATATGGTAATATACATGTTTCAATGCTATTCTTTCAAATCATCCTACCCTCGCCTTCTCCCACAGAGTCCAAAAGTCTGTTCTTTATCTCTGTGTCTCTTTTGCTGTCTCACATATAGGGTCATCATTACCATCTTCCTAAATTCCATATATATGTGTTAATATACTGTATTGGCTTACCACTCCTTTCTAATGGACTATCCTCCAAGGGAACTGGAAGCTGTTTTCTTTGCTAGAGCATAAATTTCCACAAGCAAAACAGTAGATGTGAAATGATGCAATCATAGGTCTTAGTGTTGCTGGAGGATTTGAGACTTGGAAGAAACCATGTTGGCCACCAAGACCTAACCTCTTGCTTGAAATAGTTATTCTATACAGTTGTTCAGTCCCTTTTGGTGACCTGCTGCTTATACTGTGCCCAAACCTGCCTCCCTGTAGCTTCAATCAAATAGACCTAGGACAATATGCTGGAGACTCACACAGCAGGTAATCTCTGCTTCAGTAGTTGAAGATAGATATTGTGTGCCTGCTACTGTACCTCTAAGTCTTCTCCTAATGACATTTCTCAGATCCTTTGGACCCAAGTTGCATGCATGGGGAACAACCCTGGTTGCCAATATGCTCAAATTTGCTCATCAAATCTCTTTGGATCCTAATCCCTTCACAAAACACATTACTCTCCTTCTAGTACTGCCACTGGCAAATTTGAGAAAGATACTGTAGATCCATGATAAATTGAGCAAACTCTGCATTTGTGCATTAATCACAAGATTAGGCCCATTTCAAAGGGCTTAAAGAAAAGCATGAGCATTGTCAGATAAGCTGGTGTTGGACAATAACTCCCATTGTTCAGCTGCATCTGATAACCATTCTTTTCTTTAATGTACTGCTTCTACCCTGGGCAGTATAAGTACTAAATTGAGTGGGAGCAGATGAGACGTGTGTGACAGGAGATGAAAAACCTGGAGCTTCTAAGTGAATATTTATACAAATATGAGAAAAATGATTGCCAAAATGGAGTAGTTTTACTCTGCTTTTCTTAAAAATATGATATGGGGTACTCTTCTAGTTACTAGATTTACTTGCCTACCAAAGTGTGATAATGTTTTCCCAGTAAGTTCACTATAAGCATTGAGATTTAGGGCCTAAATCAATTTATTAATTAGAAAATTGGAGGAATGGAGTCATCCAGATTGCAATATACATCATTCCTGACTTCCTTCCCGCTCACAAGAAGACCCACTAGCAATCATCCATAGCCAAGACAGCACTGCGAAAATTCCAGAAGACAGGAATGAGGGATGAGGTTGAAGTCTCCCTTGGACCACAGAGACTGAGAAGCACTGCATATTAGAAAGGCAAGAGGAGCAACTACACTCTGATCACATCGCCTCTCTCTCAAGCAGATAAAGTGCTGCACCAAGAGGGACCTCTTGGACTTACAATTTCTTCGCTGTGAAAAATAACAAAAGGTGGATGTCCAACTTCTCAGTGTTGTACGAAATTTCCCAGGAAGCTCGCAGGGGTTGCACCTCACAGGGATCACTGGGAAAATCTGCAGGGCTTGACCATTGGGGGACAGATAGAGATGGAAAAGCGGAGCAGGGCTTTCAAAGATTAGCACTCAGATCTAGGCAGACTGCAATCCTACTAACAATGATGACAGAACAGACATCATGGCCAGTAACTCTGCCTATCTGCAGAGCTAAGCTGGTGGCCACATCTAGCAAGGTACTTTAGTTGGCATTTCTGCCTGACTTGGGTCCTCAGCCAATGAACCACATGGGCTGTGGAACCCTTTTTATGGGCAGAGAAACAAATTCACAGCCCTACCCAACTTCTGAGTATAACCTCTAGTCCTACCTGACCAGAAAGCATGGCCAGAGAACCCAGCCAGCAATGGATCCCATCTTACAGCCTGTCTTACAGCCCTGCTTGGACACAGAGTCAAGTATGGGTCAACACACAAAAATAAATACATGATACACCACATTAACAAAATGAAGGACAAAAATCACATGATCATCTCAATAGATGCATAAAAGCATTAAAAAATTCAAATCTTTTTCAAAATAA